TCATTCAATTGATGAGGACAACACCTGATCTAGAACCTCCTCTCCCAATTACCACACCACTCCAAGGGGAGTGTTCGCAGTAGCTAGTGGTTAAAGTCACGGACTCGGGGCTGGGGTTTCATGAGTTAAAGCCAAGGGCCGTTGAAGACCCTATGTGTATAGGGGGCCACTGCACGTTAAATCTGTCATGGCTCAAATGTCCACCCGTTGGTCTGATGTGAAAATTAGGAGATTGATTGATTGATTGATTGAATATTAACTTCGCACTGTTCAGCTACACGAGGGCTTTTGGCGACGGACCACGTAATTTTGAACCATGGTCAAGTAACGTGGACGACACCTGAGCTGGCACCCCCTCTCCTAACTACCACACCACACCAACGGGAGGACGTTTCAGCTCTCGACATATTTAACGTGCATCGCTGCCCTACACGGCGGGTCTTTAGTGGTACTGGGCTCGAACTCGTGACAAGGCAAGCCACGATCCGATACCCATACCACTCGGCTACCGCAGCCACGTGAAAATTAGGAGAGGGAGGTGCGAGCTCAGGTGTCATCATCGTCACTTGACTGAGGTTCAAAATGACGAGGTCTGGTCACCAATAGCGCTAGTGCAGCTTTATAGAGTGACGTTAATATATCTCTCACCAGTGGCTTAACGGAGAATTTTAGGGGCCCTCTGCAAAGTCAGGTTTTGTGCCCCAAGCCGGAGCTTACAAAGGCAAGTGGCGTCAGTCAGACTTTGGGCCCCTAGAATGATGATCCCTCCCCCGCAATGCGGGGATGTGCGTTACGCCACTGACTCTCACTCACTCACTTCAAGGGGAGGACTTTGAGCTCTACAAAGTTAATGTGTATCAACATCATCTACACGGTGGATCTTCAGTGGCACCAGGACTCAAACTCGTAACACACCGTTCGTGACCATAACCTTTAGACTACCAAAGACCCACAAAGTTTTTACTTAATATAAATTCTTTGAATCATTCTTAATGGGACGTAAGAGTGTTAACTCACTGATTCTTTTAGTCCACTAATCAGGAAGCTCCCTCTCAATCCAGGCCTCTTCACTTTAAGGCCCAAATACCTTTCGATATGGGATGGAGGAACGTTTCGTGTTCCATTTCCCAAAGATGTCAAGCTTTCTTCTTCTTATTGGGACATATGCAAAACGTTGGATTTCTCATGAATCTTTTTCATAAGGAATTAAACCTTTTCAAGGCAATTTATCTGGTTTCTACAAGATAAAGAGTTAGTGGATTCATCTCTGCCGTAAGTTTTTAGAAAAACTACTCAATACAGTGGCGCACACAAGGAGGGGGGGCGTTCCCTCCTCCCCCCAAAAAAACCTTCGATTTTTTTTACGATTGACTATAATTCTAAGTATATAGTACATAAAATTTAATTAAATATTTGTTATTAATGATTAGTTTTATTAATTAATGCTAATTATTTATTCAATAATCAGTTTTTTTTATTGTGTTTTGTTCCCGAAAATTGACAAAATCAAAAGGAGCCTGGTACAAGAATGGTGAACTTTCGGCGCGCCGCGCCTGGAAAAATTCCGGTTTGCGCTAGTGGCTCAATAAAATACTCTTTTTTTTTTTATTACTCTCGTAGCGGTGAGTATACTATCCTCTTGATAAGAAACATATTCTTTCGTTTAAGGCAACAGGTTATTAGTGCCGAAATGTCTCGAGGTTGCTCGCTTCGCTTAGTGAAGGAAAATGAAAGACGACAGGATGTCTCTTTTTCAACTTAGAAAGAAAGAAAATAATTTTTTGAACAATTTTTTACGCTGTGGTTAAGTGATGAAATAGGATTGGAATAAAGAAAAATGTGGTGCTGTATTATATCTACTCTTTAATTGATTTGCAATTTTTCTACAGCTAGAACACTTCTGCAGATAAATTTCTGTGCATATTTCCTATTTTGCGGTTTTGACATTTTTGTGGAAAGTTTTGGGGTTAAGAATTCTGAATGGTTGGAAGACTTTTTCTTCGTGACTCTTATACCAAAGAGTCTACTACCATAGATAGTAACTCGACTAAATGAAATCACCTACCTTTCGTGCTAACTGATAAATGTGATGTTATTTCGCTCTCGAAAGTGCTAAAAACTTTGTCGGGTACAATAAAATCGTGAATGTTGTAACGGCCAACTTATGGTGGATAGAATCCCAGCATCTACTTATTTTCTTAAATTAGGCCCCACAGATAAATCTATTGCTCCAACATCAGAATTCTCTCAGTAAGTTTTAATGCGTACACGTTTGACAACAGCACTAGAGTGAACTTGTTTGTTTTAATGACACAAAATCACACAAAGTATCATTTTCTTTAATGACACAAAATCAAGAAAAATATTTGTGTGATACGACATTCGTGCTTGTAATCCGCTCTTTTTCAAGCATTTAGACCAGGGATCGGCAACCTTGTTGCTATGGTGTGACAAACCAATGTATTAAGGCCGTATCACACGTACACATTTCAAGCAATTTTTCGTTCAATTCGTGCAATTTTTACTCAGTTGCCATAGCAACCGCTTTAGAACAATTTTTTGCTAGCGAGCTCAAAAAGTTGTTCCAAATAAAATTGCTTGAAATTCCAGCCAATGGGGTTCTTCGGCGCTCTACGTCATAAGCAAGATGGCGGCTTCGGTTTCGTCTAACACTTCAGATATGCCGTATAATATTTTAATGGTGTATATTTTAACGGCGTATAATATTTTAAATAGAATGCTCTATTTTTAGTTTACACCCATCAACAATTGCGCAAGCGAAATGAAAGAAATAATTTTGGATGTTCATTTTCCGAAGCAGAAAAATCGGCGAGTAATTTTTCAATGTGGAGATAGAGCGCGGCTGACGTCAGAGCGTGTCGTTTTGTTTACGGCAACCCTTCAGATTCGGCCAAAAATTGGACGAAAAAATTGCATGAAAAATATACGTGTGATACGGCCTTTAGTATGACTCAGGGTAGAACACAGTCGGAAATATTTCAAACAATTCAATGCCCATGGCAATGCATATAAAGTTAGAGAATAAAAGTCAAGAATGCATAGATAGTCTTATTATTTATTAATTATGCGTTTTTTAAAAAGATATTTGTTAACACAAGATATAAATATTTCTTCAAAATAACTAAAAAAAATCTAAAATTATTCATATTTTTCGTATTATGTATCTTTTAAACTTATATAATTATTAAAATAAGAAATAAACAACACAAAATATAAGTATTCCTTCAATATACAATACTGGCCATTAAAATTGCTACACCAAGAAGGCGACTTGCTACAAACGTGAAATTTAAACGACAGGCAGAAGGTGCTGTGATATGCAAATGATTAGCTTTTCAGCGCATTCAGACAAAGCAGACGCCGGTAACGACTTCTACAATGTGTATAAAGGCCGTATTACACGTACACGTTTCAAGCAATTTTTCTTCCAATTCGTGCAATTTTTACTCAGTTGCCATAGCAACCGCTTTAGAACAATATTTTGCTAGCGAGCTCAAAAAGTTGTTCCAAATAAAATTGCTTGAAATTCCAGCCAATGGGGTTCTTCGGCACCCTACGTCATAAACAAGATGGCGGCTTCGGTTTCGTCTAACACTTCAGATATGCCGTATAATATTTTAATGGTGTATAATATTTCAACGGCATATAATATTTTAAATAGAATGGTGCTCTATTTTAGTTTACACCCATCAACAAAATTGCGCAAGCGAAATGAAAGAAATAATTTTGGATGTTCGTTTTCCGAAGCAGAAAAATCGGCGAGTAATTTTTCAATGTGGAGATAGAGCGCGGCTAACGTCAGAGCGTGTCGTTTTGTTTACGGCAACCCTTCCCCCTCAGATTCGGCCAAAAATTGGACGAAAAAATTGCATGAAAAATATACGTGTGATACGGCCTTTAAAGAGGAAATTGTTCAGCCCGTTTCTCATACATAAATTGCATTGGAATGTTGTTGCCTAGTGAAAAGTTGTTGTGATGCCTCGTGAAAGGAGCACAAATGTGTATCAGCACGTTTCTGACTTTGATAAAGGTCGAATTGCACTGTACCGGGATTGCGGTTTATCGCATCGCAATATTGCTGCTTGCTCGGTCGAGATCCAATGACTGTTTGCAGAATATGGAATCGATGGGTTCAGGATGGTAATACGGAACGCCATGCTGGATCTCAACGGCCCTCTATCTCTAGCAACCGAGAAGACAGGCATGTTGCCCTTATGGCCATATTGGATCGTGCAGCCTCGTCACGAGCCCTGAGTTAAGAATGGGGGACGTTTTCAAGACAACAAGTATCTGCACGAACAATTCGACAACGTTTGCAGCAGCATGGGCTCTCAGTTCGGAAACCATGAGTTCAATAAGCTTCATTTCAAAATTATCTTTATTCAAAAAATTGACTAATCTTTAGAGGGGTGTAGAGTGCTACTAAGAATAGTACCACATGACAAACTTCGAACGCTTGTTATAGGTTGCCGACTCCTGATTTTTACTTTTAGAGTATTGCACACTTCTGTGTTTTGCTTATATTTATGTTAACCTTCACAATGCAAAAGAAAATAAGTATAAAGACCGCAGAAAGACATTAAAAGTAAATTTAATAAATAGCATGCTCTGTACATCGAGTGTCTAGAGAAAATCAAAAACCCAAAATAAGGAGAAAAAAAAGGAAAATAATACAGAATTAAATTTTAGGAACAATTTTTGCTCAAATGCATTATAAAATTTTAAAAATAAATGTAAAATATTATGAAAAACATATTGCAAGTTTCATGTTGGTCGGAGCGTAAGCTGAAACAATCTGAGGGAAACCAGGTTAAGTCTGTAAGAGAAGTTTGACTAAACAGCGATTTTCCTTGCAATTTCCCTTTCTGTATATGCTGTTGGGCTAGTTTTGTTTGTTTGTTACTATTTTCTCAATTAATTAAATTTAATTATTCTAATAAAATAATATAGTAAAAAAATAACATTCTCAGAAATTAGGCCATCCCAGGTGGTATTCGAATCCACAACCTTTGAAATAGAAGCCCAACGCGCTATCCATTGCGCTACAGGGATACGACGAACGATTTTCCTTTCTGCATATGCTGTTGGACTATTATTTTTGTTTGTTTCTATTTATTCATTTTTTAACTTAATTAATGAGTTAATATTTGAAAAAACTGTATTAACATCAAGTGTTTTCCACTACAAGTTTAAAAAAATGTATTTGAACTTGAATGGAGGAATAGAAAGTATTTTATTAACGATTGAAAATTT